ACTGCTACACTACATTACCACTATATATACATACTCAATCTTCAATTTGTTTTTGGATTTCAAAATATTTTTTATCATCCTCTTTTGTTTATGATGTCATTATAAAGACTCTTCAAATCTTTTTTAGAAGCTGATAGAAAATAAATATATAAATACATTTAGCATCTCTCTGTGCCGTTACTTATTCATTTTACTAAAGTTAAGTTTTTTATTAAAACAATAATCTATATTCATACTACTCTTGGTAGTGTAGTGGTTACGAATCGGACTGCAAACCTCAAGGTCAGCTGTTCAAATCTATCAGCTATTGCATGGAAGAAAGATGAAGCTTTCTGCTCCCATAAAGATTCACAGCCTCAGAAACCCTGTACAGGTTCACTGTAAGTCAGAACCGACTCCACATCAGATAACCACCAATGGAGAAATACATTGTAGATTGTATTTGACTAGTTCAGTTTTTGCTCAATTTATGAATACAAAGTGATCACTGTTATTTATTTTCCTGGTACTTAAGGGCTATTACTAGTAAAATATTGTCTATTTGATATATCTTATCTACACATTTGAATCCACATATCTGAATTAGATATCAATGCATTTAAATTCCAGAGTATATATTTTAGAGATTACATTTTACATATATATATAAAAGATCAGGTAGAGCTTATATTTTCACTAAGTAACAATACACCACTATTTTAAAGTGTGGAACAATACATGCTTTAAATGTTCTTAGTATAATAGTGGTCGTTTGTATAGATGTCTAAATAGTCTAACACCTTTTTCTTATAATGTTATTTTTTGTTTAAATATTTTCCAGAGCATTATCAACTGTATGTTCCTGAGTCAGCTCAAGTTGGTTCAGCTGTGGGGAAAATCAAGGCCAATGATGCAGACACTGGCTCAAATGCTGATATGACATATTCCATTATAAATGGTGATGGTATTGGGATATTCTCCATCTCTACTGACAAAGAGACCAGAGAAGGGATACTTTCTCTAAAAAAGGTAAAAAGTTCTGTTATTCAGGCAACTCATACATCTTTCTTTAAGTGAAAATTTGGTAAAGGTCTGAATAATCTTAACTTTTAAGTAAATAATAAAACATTGTCTTTTCCAGATGCAATTACATTTTAACTATGTGTGTTTTTTCTGGAAATGTATTACAAGAATGCATTACAGAATGTTTTTTTCTGGAAATGTATTACAAGATGGGAAGATCTGATACAGAATCCAACATGATTATGCCTCTTTTTCATTTTTGTGTTTCTGCTCAGATTCTCCTTGAAATGTTCCAATGGTATCAGTTAAGAACTAAATGTAATGCATTTAAACTTCAACAAGATGTGATAGTATCCAAATAAAATTAAGCTGATTTGGTAGTACCAAAAGAGAATTGCCTATAGAGCATCATGGATATGAATTCATTACAATTGTTGTTGTTAGGTACCCTGGAGTCGGTTAGGACTCATAGTGATCCTGTATAGGGTTTCTGAGGCTGTAAATCTTTGCCGGAGCAGAATGCCTCATCTTTCTGCCATGGAGCCGCTGGTAGTTTCAAACTGCTGTTCTTGAGGTTGGCAGCCTACAATGTACTTGTCACCACTATGCTACCAGAGCTCCTTATTAATTACAATAGAGTCCTAATAACAAATAAATAAATACAAAATTTAATA